TTAAAATCGTTTTAAGTAAAATTTAGAAAATGTTTGTTATTTCATTGAGATTGAACAGAATTTTAAGATGCGATCTAAGATTATATTTAAGATGATTAAATATAAAAACAAATTGTATGAATATCGGCCTACATTACCGCCGGCATAGCTCTCCGGATCATTAGAGTACTCAAACCTCCTCACCCGGCAAATGCCTTCGTTAAGGTGGAGATACCATCGAAGAGGTACAATTTTTTTATTTTATTTTCTTTTAATATAATGTAAGTTTTTCAAATTTTCCAAATAGAAAATATAATACAAAGGATGTATAAAATATACATATATTATATATATATTATATAATTATAAAATATTATAATGCATAATTACATAGCTTGCAGTCATATAAAAATATATTACAAAATATATATTATAATTATAGTACAATTTATAAATTGGTATCAACATCAAATAAATATGTATTCGAATTTATTCAAATATTTTCAATAATACGGATAATGATGTTGAGAGCACACACACATTCTTGGACTTATAATAATACTATATATATAGAAAGAAAAAAAAGGAAAATTCGGAGAATAAAATAATTTTTCGAAAAATGAAGATATATTTTCCATTTTTCGACATTTATTCAAGATTTATTTTCTATTGTTACAAATATCTTTTACACATATTTTTGTTATCATTTTCATAATAGTATAACTTAATATATAATATTTTATTTTAACTCTAAATACAATAGAGTTATAAAATATAAATTAGAAAATTAATTTAATATATAATAATACAATCAAATTGAAAATATATAATGTATAACAATAACAATAATAAAATATATATACATAATACACACACACACACACACATATATATATATATATATATATATATATATAAAATACATAAAATTGTTAATACATAAGATAATATATAAAATTTTTCGTTGAAAATATATAGTGTAATACATAACAATAAAATATATATTATATATAATACATAAAAAATTGTTATGTAGAATATATACATAGATTACTTTACTATATTACACGAAAATATCCGCAATACGTACAACGTAAAATTGATTAGAAATTTTTAAAAAATTTTTAGATTAGCGTAGCTGATAATCTATCGCGACTAAAAAAATCATTAATAAATTTATCGCTTGTGTTCCTCTCAATTAAGAAAAAGTAATTTTAATGTGAAATTTTAATTCATTTTATAAGATTTTCTAAAAGAAATGTTTGATGACACGGAAAGATAAGTAAAACTTTGATGTTACCCAACAATTAAATCAGAGAAAAAATTAAATTTCGCGGTTTAAATTTCGCGAATATATATGATAAATAAATAAATTAATAATAACAGTAATATTTAACTATAATACACATAATTTCTATAATAATCGGAATACAACATGCGCAATATAATTATTATCATTTTGTGCGACAATAAAAATATTGCAACATTAGAGGCGCATTTCATATAATTTGCACAATATTATAATATACGTAAGGAATCAAACGCGGATGCAGAATCTAATAGTCGATTTCTTTTCAAATATACAATTTCATGTAAATTTCGCGATCAAAAGTAAAATATATATCTTGTTCCGCGAACAATTGCAAACAGGCTAAACTTTAATATCCTTATGCCTTAAAATAATCGCGTTATCGCCACGCTCAATGAAGAATAACTGGCCCAACGATTAGACCAGATCAAAATCCCTCTGCCGAGTGACACGCTGGTTAATATCTGACAGAGAGAAGAACGATCCTAAAAGTGGGAAGCGACTTTAATTTGTCTTATTTCTTCTATTTCGGATCTCGCGAAATCGATCCACAACGGATAGTTAAGTGATTCATTAAACATCAGAAGCTTCTTTACAAGAAAGAACGAAACCCCGATCTTCCTGACTGCTCCCGATAACAGCGATTTCGGCAGCGGATTAACGACTGTTACCCTTCTTATCATTTTCAATATATAATATTAAAATTCGCGTAAAAAAACATCTTCTTCCATTTTAAGAAATCTTTTCTTTTTACTAAAAAATGACTGGATATAATAGTTTTTATATATATGTTACAATCAAATATATTTAAAGGTAAAATGAAATACATGCGCTTTTATCGTTGCTTGATTAAATGTGTGAATAATAATAATTTTAGGGTACCAAATTTGCTCAAAATTCGAGACAAATCAAATCTGATAACAGCAAGATTAAAAAAAAATTCAACTTGAATATTTAGCAACATCAAATGAAAGATTATCAAGAAATTAATTTTTCTGTTGCATTTAACAGTTAAGACTTAGCACGTAACAATAATTTGCAGATATCTTACTGATATCAGAGTACCCATTCGATTTGTCTCGAATTTTTTAATTAATCACACATTTTATATTATATCATGCATTCCTAATATATTATTAAGAATAATATTAAAAAATAGTTTTTCAAATATGTCACAATTTACGCACATGTATTTTATTATATGTACACTCTTATCTAAAATAAACTAATTATAATATACATAAGATAGTGGAGCATCCAGTAATTCCTGCAAGTGGTTTCTTAAAAGAGACCAAAAATAAAATTAATTCAAAATTAATTAATAAAATATACTTGTTTGTAACCATAATTTTTCAAATAATAAAAATTTTGCACAAAAAAGTTTGCGCAAAAACTTATTAAATTAAATTTATATTTGAAAAAGTGAATTTTATCTATTATATCCATTTTTGAATTATTATTTTCATTATTAAAATAATAGTGATATTAATAGGAGGATATTAATGGAAGAACATTTTTAACAAAAAGAGAAAATATATCTTCTCTCAAAGTATAATGAATTTTGTAATTCGATTTCAAACAATGTACGGTGATTGTCGTTAAATCACTGCCAAAACATTGTTTCGAGGAACTGCCACGAAAACCTAGGTTTAATTCCTACTCTGTAATGAAACTTTCAATTTTCAATGAGGCACCGAACTAAGCGTTGCGGATAGATCTCACAAAAACCGGCGAGAAATAACTGTCCGCAATGAAAATCGTTTCGATTTTCCGCCAGTACAAACCGCGCATTTGCTAGCGTCCACCTGACATGAGGGACAGCGATAAGGCTTCTTCGTCGAGACAGCGATCACATCCAAAAACGTGAAAAGAACGCAATTGTTTGCAATATAATTTATTATAAAATCGTAAATCAATAAATCGTAATCTATAAATATTTAACGCGATGCGAAATTCTCGAAATACATTAAATTAAAAACGATAATCAAAGAAAATTATTTTGTTTTATAGATTTTAATTTCCGCATGATTGATAATGTTTAATATTTCGCAATATTTTATTTTCGAACATACTTGTGTTTTCTATAATATTAAAAGAACGACAAATTTTACGTAAAAAGCTAATATCTAATTATTGGGTTAACATCGTGTTTTTCTTGATTCACTTTTATTTAATAACCTTTATATTATGTAAAAGAATTTTTTTTACGGTATTTGCGCGATTACGAAAGTTTCTCGAATTTATTAATAATCTTTTAGTATAAAAAATAAGCTATCCAAATATTTGAATAATTTTGCAATAAAAATATTCAAATAAAATATATCAAATGTTAATTAAACAAATTTTGTTATTGTACGTATTCATCTAATTTCATGTAATGTACAATAGATTTCTTTTACATTATTACAACTAGATTATAATTTCTATACAATTGCAAAGAAAATTATGAAAAATAAAAATAATATAATTACAATTTATAGATATAATTATAATGTTAATTACAATTTAATAATTGATGCTATTAGTATCAATATTCTCAACATAAGAAAATTGCAAAATTTTTATTATTTAAAATGATTATTCAATGATAATCAATGTATATGATTTCAAATAAGTTAGAAAAAAAATTATTTAGATCGAATTACTTTTATCTCTCAATATTTTATCAAATAAATATTATCATATTAGATACTAATAACATTCACATTTGAATTTAAAATTGTATAATTTTTAAAAAAATACAATTTTTAGTAGTGATAAAATAAAATACAATTTACAAAAAATAAAATATTAAATTTAACATATGTTATATGTATAATAAAATGCAACTTAAATGTACATTATGTATTTAAGTTACATTTTTTACATTTTCCATACATTAATTTTTTTATTTTTATTTATAGTTTTTTTTATAATTAATTTCAATTCTTTATATATAATTTATTTAATTTTATATGAAATAAATTATATATATATTTAATTTTTACATGCCCTAATAGCCCTAACAATCTTAACAACCCTAACAGACCTAATAGCCCTAACAAGCCTAATACAGACCCTTAAAAATAACATATTTTTATGTTTTTTTTTTCTTGAAAACAAATTTAATTTTTATATGCTTTAATAGCCCTAACAAACCTAATAGGCTTAACAAACCTAACAGTCCTAACAGCCCTAACAGACCTAACAAAGACCTAACAGCCCTAGCCACCCTACTTGCTGGCTTACGCCAGCAGAAATTCACGATCAAGTGAAATTTGGGGAACCCTAATTAGGAATCCGCGATAATGAAAAATTTAGGAAGCCCTAAGCGGAAATTCGCGATAAAAGGAAGCCTTAGCGGCGCAACACATCTTTTGGCAATATTGCCAATATTGATGTATTTTCCAAGCCAGTTATCTCTGCTTCTGGCTATATTCATTTTGACGACTATTTGTTTACGATCGTACGATATTATGATCGTATTTTAACGTACGTCATTCAGTCGTCAGAAATCGCGAAATAAATTGTCATGCATAAAATATAATTAGCATGCATTTTAACTCTCGGTCGGCGGGTTGCTTATAAATATTTTTATTTTTTAGATTAAATATTTAGAAATTAAAAATCTATTTTTAAAATCGTTTTGTAAAGGCCCATATATATATAATGGAAATAAATATTTCATGTATGTCTATATCTATTGTTAATTTATAAATATTTTTTCTTTTACTTTAATTTTTACACATATTGTCCCGCCAATCAAGAGTTAGAAGCAACGGATTTCTTCATGCATTTACAAATCCTTTGCTTCAAAATAAAAAGTTGTCACTTACCGGCACTGATGCGCAACAGCGGAATTGATATTGAAGCTATGTTGTCTGTAACATACAAATATAAAATGCAAATTATATCAATGTTCAAAATAATTAATATTTTAAGAAATTATTATTGGACTCATTGAATTTTATATCTGATGTACGCAATTATAAATAGATGTATAAATATGAAATAATTTTATAAGTAATTAATTTTTTTTAAGTAGAAACTTTTATAGAAAGAATTATTATAAAAATTTGTCCAATTTTTTCATGTTTAAATCATTTATATAAATCAAATTAATTAATTAATTAATTTATATAAAATTAATATAAATAATAATACACACCATCAGGTTGTTCCGCTGGTGCAAGATGCCTTTCCTAGGCCTGCTCCTCCTCTCAGATCATCTGGATTGGTTACATCTATAACATATACATAGAAAATCCAAATTATAATAACGTCCAAAATAATTAACATTTCAAAGAATTATTATTGTATGTATTGTGTATCTTATATTCAATCCATATAATAATAAGTAGATTCATAAAATAATTCTATAAATTAAAGAAAAACATTATTAATAATTCTTTAATAATTTTATAAAAGCTTATATTTTTACAAGAGATTATAGCTTTTATTTAAAAATCTTTTTCTCTCTTATTTAAATCATATAAATAAACAAATCAAATTAATTGTTGCGATTAATTGTTTAATTTAAATTATGATAAATATATTTAATATTTAATATATAATTACAAATAAATAAATTGCTTACCAGAAGGTTGCTCTGCCGAAGCTGGATGCCTCTCCTAGGCCTCCTCCTCCTCTCAGTCTTAATCGCGCGATACTTAACGGCACTCCCGCACTCACGAGCGATATTTTTATATCGCTATTTTCGCACTTTTACGCGCGATACTGAACGGCACTCCCGCACTATTCGATACGATTAAAAATTTTCTGTTTTGTCGCGCGATGTATATATTTAATATATATATACTTTAAACGGCACTCCCGGTTTCGGTACGATCGAAAATCCCGTTTCACTTGTGAAAGTGGGATTGCGAGAAAGTCCAACGCGAAAACGCGATAACGCTATGACGCGAAAAAGCGGTAACGAGACGCCCCCGTCCACGACACGTTGACGGCACCGACGACGAAAAGTCGACGACGCAATATATATATATATATATATATATATATATATATATATATATTTTTTTTTTTTTTCTTTTTTAATAATATTTATGTTTTTTTTCTCTGAAAATAAATTTAATTTTTATATTCCCTAATAGCCCTAACAAACCTAACAGTCCTAACAAACCTAACAGCCCTAACATCCCTAACAGTCCTAGCAGTCCTAACAGCCCTAGCCGCCTTACTTGCTGGCTTACACCAGCAAAAATTCGCGATAAGGTACAATTTGGGGAGCCCTAATCGGAAATTCGCGATAAAATTTAAAGAGCCTTAACCGCGCAACACATCTTTTGGCCAATATTGACCATGTATTTTTCAGGCCAGTTATCTCCACTTCTGGCCATTCATTCTGACGACTAATTTGTTTCAAAAACGATCATGCGATTATGATCGTTTCGTTAACGCACGTTATTCAGTCGTCAAAAATTGCAAGTTATAAATTATCATGCATAAAAGATAAAAAGCATGCATTTTAACTCTCGGTTGGCAGATTGGTTAGAAATATCTCTATTTTATAGATTAAATATTTATCGATTAAAAACCTATATTTTTATAAAATTGTTTTTTATAGAGACCGATATATAATAGAATTTTAGAATATTTCATGTATGTCCGTCATACAATTGCAATAAAAATCATCTATCTTTATTAAAAATATTTTTCCTTTACTTTTTCACTTTAATTTTTACTCGCGTATTGTCCCGCCAACGGAGAGTTAGAAGCAATGGATTTCTTCATGCATTTAAAATCCTTTGCTTCAAAATAA